TCAATATGTTGTAATACATTACAGAAGCATAGATATTCATCTTCACGATCTGCAACAATATATTATAAAATTTGGTCATATATCTTACGTAATAAGGGGTCGCAAGGGGCCAAAATACTATATTTTTTATGCTTTACGTCTCGAAAAGGGGGAGTATTTTTATAAGCCATATTGAACAAAAGATATTCGGAAAATCGTGATAAAAATCAGAAACTTTAAATTTAATGAAGGAAAACTTAATGTCATTCTCTTTTAACGAATATCTCAGTCAAAATCACATCTCATCTTATCGAGAAATTCAACGGAAGACCTACTCGTTGCTTGCAACGAGATCTCATCTAGTTATTATTATTTTTCTTCTCGGGAAAATTTTGTCCGCGAATGATCTTGTAAAGTACACATCCGATTAAGGGGAAACCTTTTTAGGGTAAGTAGGCATGTTATGTAGATTTGCGGAATCAAGGTCATTTTGCGCGCACGTGCTTGCAAGAGCGCGCACGTGCAAAACTTGAAATGACCAATATATGATGGATATAACCGTAACTTTTCTATTTTTAGACGAAATGTTTTGAAACTCATAATGTAAGGATATATGAGTAGTATGCACAAGATGACATGGTCAATTTAGCAAGATCGCACGTGCAAGCACGTGCGCTTCGCTCTGATTGGCTGAAACTAAAGTCTCAATATCTTTCTTGTTTTTTGATAAAATCATTTGAAATTTTTAACATAGTCATACATTAGGGAGATCTACAGCCCGTAATAAAAGAAATATCATGAAAGCATGTGCATGCACGTGTGCTTGCAAGAGCTCGCACGTGCAACACGAGAAATGTCCAATATAATTGATACAGACATAGCTATTTAAATTATTGATGATATGCTTTAAAACTCATATTAGAAGTATATATTAGAAGCATAGACAAGATGACATGGTCAAAAAAGCAAGATCTCACGCGCATGCACGTGCGCTTCGCTCTGATTGGCTGAAACTAAAGTCTCAATATCTTTCATGTTTTTTGACGAAATCCTTTGAAATTTGAAATATAGGCATGTATTAGGATATCCTACATTACGATATATAGCAATTATCATGAAAACGCGTGCATGCACGTGCGCTGCAATCTGATTGGCTTATGCTTTAAATAGCTGTAACTCCCTTGGTTTTCAACCAAACAGGATGGGATTTGGAACATATATACATGTAATGGACTTCTACAAGAAGACATGGTCACCATGCACATGCATACACGTGCATGTGCGTGCGCTGCAATCTGATTGGCTGAAACTTTGAACAGCTATAACTTCCTTGGTTTTCAATCAAACGGGGTGGGATTTAGAACATAGATAGATGTAATGGACTTCTACAAGAAAGTATGGTCACCATGCTCATGTATGCGCGTGCGTGCACGTGAAATGAGTAAAATCAAACATACACTTGAATGAACGTATTTTTTAAATAATTTTGGATTAAATACTTTAATATTCAGTGTATTAAAAATATAGATTGTGTAGACAAGATGATATGGTCATGACGCAAATGCATTCACATGTGCACGCGTGCAATGCTAAAGTTTAAATGATTTTTGTACACTTCATAGTAAATGTTGTTAAAATCTCAGATGCATAGAGTTTGTCTTATTCAATGAAGCTTACAGGGAATATGGCACCAAAAGGGAGTTGGGGAGCGTTTGGGGAACATCTGTAACGGTCCCCGTTACAATTAGCACTAGTTATTTTTCTTCTTCCTGGGTACTTATTTGTCCGCGAATGATCTTGTAAACTGTTCATCTGATGTAAGTAAAATCTTTTTAGGGTAAGTAGACATGTTATGTAGATTTGCGGAATCAAGGTCATTTTGCGCGCACGTGCTTGCAAGAGCGCGCACGTGCAACATGTAAAATGACCAATATAATTGATATAGCCGTAACTTTTCTATTTTCTGATGAAATGTGTTGAAACTCAGAATATAAGAATATATTCGTATTATAGACAAGAGGACATGGTCAAATTATCATAAACTCACGCGCATGCACGTGTGCTTCGCTCTGATTGGCTGAAACAAAAATCTCAATATCTTATTCGTTTTTTGACGAAATACTTTGAAATTTAAAACATGGTAATGCATTAAGATATCCTACGATATGATAAAAATAGTTTTAATGAAATCACGCGCATGCACGTGCGCTGCAATCTGATTGGCTAAAACTTTAAATGCCTATAATTCCCTTGGTTTTCAGCCAAACAGGATGGGATTTAGAACATAGATAGTCTTAATGGACCCCTACAAAAGGGTATGGTCATCATGCACATGCATGCACGTGCGTGCACGTGAAATACGTATAATTACAAACGCACTTGATTTAGCGTATTTTCGAATACTTTTTGATTAAATGCCTTGATATTAAGTATATTAAAATAAATTAATAATGTAGATACAATGATATGGTCATTTCGCATATGCATGCAAGTGTACGCACATGCAATGCAAAGATTTGCTATATACTTGGTATACTTTGGGAAAAACGTTGTTTAAGTTTAAGATGCATAGGGTTTAGTTTATTTAATGAAGCTTAGAGGGAATGAGGCACCAAAATGAAGTTGTGGAGCGTTTGGGGAACATCTGTAACGGTTCCCGTTACAATTAGCACTAGTTAATTTTTATTTGTGAATTGAACATTTGTCGGATTGATTCTAGTGTATATGATATGCCATTATTTCAAAAGCAGTGGGATTGACAAATCTCTTGGCATCATAAAAAACCCGTAAATAACCTTCTTGTCCGAAAACCAATTTCCAGCTGTGCACTGCGCACCATTTTTGCACAGATATGAACTTCTTAATCACTAAAGGGGTCTGCGAGAGTTCAATTCAATTTATTCACTCAGAACCATGTAAATGGTACATGAGGTACAAAAACATATAAAACATATATACATATAATACAGTGGGTCAAGGAGAAGGTGATAATTAAGGAGAAGTGATAATTAAGGAGAACAGACAATACTATTAATTTTAGAAATAAATGTACATAATTGTTTCAAATAATCAACATCATTTTGGCACATGATTTCACAAAATTTGATGATATTTGGATTAGAGCAAAAAAAAAAAAAAGAGTGCCACAGGAGTTGTCCCCAAGTTAAAAATCAAATAACAAACAGTCATTGACTCTAATATCTTCTAGTAATCATCTGATACCTTAGTGTCCATACCAAATCCACTCCACTTCCGGTTGACCCAGTTTTTTGGAACAATTTTCTACTTATTGTATGCTGCTAACTTAATATCGTGGTTTTCTATAGTTAACATATTTATGTTTATTTATCTATTTGGAACAATTTTTCATGAGTGGAATTCATAGGCTTTTTATTGTATTTAGTTTTTACAGATTTATCTAAAGGAACCCCTACAGACGCCATCCTGTCTGATTTTGCACGCTCTTTTACCGTCAAACACCGTATACGGTGTAACTTTTTCTCTGATTTTTCAATAAGTACAAATGGAAGGAACACAAATACAAGGAAATAATGGAAATTTTTTTTCTTCAAAAATGGAATAGACTCGATTTTATCTTTTTCAGTGAATTGGTCACACTTCAATAAACACTGAATTATTTATAAGGTTTGAAATTAATATGCCTTATTTTTTGTTAAAATAACATATCTATATATCAAATGCATCATATACAGGTTTTTAAAAGTAAAATATTAATTCTCTTAGGTGGTGCGTTAGCAATTTTATCTAGTGTATAGTAAGTAAAACATCCAAATATGAAACATACTATTGCTCTGTGGTTTTCCCAAGTCATCTAAACGACTTATGGATGGAAATAACTACTGTTAATTGATGAAACAATAATTGCTCTATCTATTTATTATAAAATTTATTTACAGCTAGTCCCTAAGCAATCTATACAAACGTGTCTACCAAAGGTTTTGTTTTGGAATAAATTTTGTTGGTGTTGGTGTTAAAGGGATTTCAACAACCTCGTTTTAAAGTAGCATTACGTAAATGCTATGGTCGTTATTTGATGACCCTACCCTTGTAGCAAAAATAACCTGTCACTAGATCTTATTTTACTTGACTTGTTTTGTAAGTCACTGAATTGTTAGATTTGTTTTTTAAAATTAAATTTGCTTGTCAAACTTTTATTTTTCTTCTAAATTCTGACTTAAATATTTTGACATCTAAAGAAACTGTAAGACAGAGCGTCATATTTTGTTTTAAAAGGTATTTTTCACAAATGTTTACGAAGACTTTGAATATTGATGAACTGGGCTGGGCACAGCTTGATATTTAAGGTTTGGTCGGATACAATGCCTGACATCGCTAACACAGACAATCCTGCAGGCTGGTATAGATATACCCGATCACTTATAATTTAAAGGAAATAATAATGAACTTTGCCCCCTACCTACATGCGCCATCCGTTCCGTCAGGGTTGAAGTCCACTTAATTTGGGGCATATTATGTAGACAAGCGATGTGAATATAATTTATTGGTCATTCAAGATTCGTGAAGGGAGGGAGACAAGGTACAAGAAAGGAAGAATAACAAGTCGTAACATAAACTAATGACAGATAACAGCTAAATGTACACAAAGTCACTGAGTCACGGTCACAGCAGATGTCTTTATAGAAACCTCAGACAAACACCAAAAGTTGTTTATATATTATATATGTATTGGGTGAGAAGTTGTTGGACTTTGAACCCAAACAGTAAACGTTCTCTAACTGTCTCTTTTCTTTCATGACTGGTGATTTATAAAAGATTATATAAACAATCAAAGGCTTTGAAATATCGTTAGTTTAAAATGTATTTCTATTGGAAACAGGGTCGTTCGATCTTTGATGATTTATGCAGCATTCATAAATAAATTTATTTTTTAAGCACGTATAAATTCTAGAAGTCATCAAACCTTACTCGTAATGTTTACGGTATAAAATGACCTGCACGTCTGACCGATTACCCCTATATGACGTCACTTGCCAAAGTCCTTCAGTAAGTATGAGGCGCTGGCTTAAACCAGGAGTTCAAACGAATTAAACACATTGGGCAAACAACCTTATTACTTTCTGTTACATTGGATTTAAATGAAATTCTGAAGGTAATTCTTGAATTATACTACATTGACAAAATCGAACTACTTTCCAATTTCTATCGCGACTATGTCATGTACAGAAATGAAAATTCCGTTCGAAATAATTATCCTGGATTTATTTATAAATATTTCAAGTTGTTTATCTTGATAGTTTTGAAGTGAATTTAAGTCTATTTTATGATTTTAAATTGTTTCGTTTAATCGTATTCGAATCGCTCATCTGTACACGCTATAAATAAATGTATAACTACAACCATTAAATTTACTTTATACAAGAAGAGCTCTTCCGCCGTCGACTATGATTTGTAACTGATGGAAAAAAATTTCGATTTCAGTGAAATTATTCCAGTATTTATCATTTAATAATTGATCTGAAATTTGTGAAGTACAACATTCCTGCTCCTTTTATAATAGGCTTAAACCTTCAAAATATATATTAAGCTTTCTTTTTACTGATTTTTTTTTTTAAATCGTGTTTTTAAAAATTTTTTCGTAAATTTCTTATGCTCTTGACAACGTTGTGTTTGTGTTGTTCGTATGTTATTTGAAGACATATAGAATTTTTTTCAATCGTCACCAATTGCCGATGGAGAACTGCAAATTTTGTCCTATACTCAGCACTCGACAAGTTCATGTGATTTACAAATTGTAAAATTCACCACCTCCCAACATGCCAATAAAGAGATCAAACCATACCAGATCCGACAAAATGCACATGACCTTCTCAGCCTATTAGATTCTGTTTTACTAGAGATATTTTATACGATATACTTATTTTTTATCTCTTACTATTATTAAATTTTGAATTTTATAGCTCCTGGATCAGGGGTCCTGGTGTAAGAACGCAGGGGCGTAGTATCCGGGGGGGCCAGGGGGGGCCTGGCCCCCCCCCCCCCACTTTTTTGCCCAACCTTACTTACACTATAGGAAATGTTAATTCAAAGCCTGTTTGGCCCCTCCACTTTTAGAAATGTACCGAAAATGTAGTATAAGAATTGGTACTAAAAGTAGTTGACACTGAAAAAAAGTTTATCTACCCCCCCCCCCCCCCCCCCCCCCCACCACCACCACCACGAAATAGGATTTTCGACTTCGGGCAACTTTTACCTTTTTTTTTTTTTTTTTTTTTTTGTTTGCTTGTCAACTTTTTCAGGTAAGTAAAAAAATTTTTTCTCTGCCTGGCCCCCCCACTTTCAAAAACGATGCTACGCCACTGGAACGGGGCTCTAATGATAATATACATGTAGTGGAAATACATTAATTCCAAGCATATAGCTATGATGAGTAGGTGCTTCTTTAAGAATTGTAAATTCTAAGACCATTGGGTCAGAGGTACTGGGAGGGAGCTCAACTGATTAATTATACTGAAAGTGAATTAATGCTTTGAAATCTGCTTTTTTGAATTAATCAAATATTTTTATGTGCAAAGGTGCCGATTCCAAAATTGTGAAATGTGTGGTCCCGGGATCAGGGGTACGTATGGAGTGGGGCACTACTGATTATAATCATTATATAGTGGAGATGCACTTTTTCCTTGTTCATCTATTCTGCCTTTGGGTATTAAGAAATCAAACTAAGCAATTTTTTGATACGCAAGCGCATGCCGTGAATACCGGGTACAATAAATATTTAAACCTAGGCAGGCCACGAACGGATAAATTGATGTTACAGGGATTCACCAACCTCGACTTAAGTCGGCATTTTGTAAATTCTATGGTCGGGTTCATGTCCTTGTTAACAAATATAACCTGTATCATTGCCGCAGCACTGTAGCTTTATGGTTTTTAATTGCGTAGACCCTGAGGTCCACGCAGTAAATATATAAGCGAGGTTATACCGGATGCCATGGGCAAACGTCAGGCTACGCATGTGCGAGAATGCTAGAGAGTTTGGTCCTAAGACAACTTGCCCGTAGAATAATTCACCCTATTCGAATTAGAATATGCCATTCATTGGCAAATCTCGCTTTTAAATCTGCATATCGTATTTATTTATTTATTCATTGGCGCATCAGAATTTCTTTTTATACATATACTTTTATACAAAAACTAGCCATTCATTCTATGGCAGATGCATTTTAAAAAGTAGGAAGCACTTGCAGAATATAAATAACTTAGAATATTTCTAGGTTTTAAAAGATAGAACATGTCTTAACCGGCATTTTTTGTGCATCAAGGCTCGCAAAATAATTTGATTTACAGCAATCCAAATACAGCTTGATACAGGTCCGTAGCAACGGTTTTCCATGTGGAGGAAGGGAAGGGGGGGTGCTCCGGGAAAAAAATGTGCGTACAACAGAGCTGCGTGTGCTAAACGTGTACCATCTGATCTATTTTTCCAATAATAGATATCTTCCGTATAAATCCAGAAGAGATGGAAAGTTCCAGCCGTTATGGGTTATATATCAAAATAGTCCGATTTTCTTTGAAATGACAAAACTATAGGCCAATCGGAGATAAAATTTAACAATTTTGCTATAAAAGTACTATCAGTCAAAATGGCAGATAATTGTTGAAAATGTGAACGAACCTACATGAATATTTACTAAACCTATAATTTTTTAAAACTGAATTTCGGTTTTAAAAATACATGCATATAGTCCACGTATTGTAGTCCTTTTTTTTAAAGGACAGCAACTTGTTCTAGTATTTTACCATAACGCTACAAATCCTGTAATGGAAATATGGTGCAACTTACGACACATGTTAGAATGTTTTTCTCTATTTTCCACCATCGGCCAATCAATGAACTACCTTTCATTTATATCCCGTTAAAAACCTGTATATTTTATCCACCTTTCAACTCTTTACAGCTCGTCTTTACAGACAAATTAACTTTCTTGTTTTGAATTTTCTACCATGCGACAAAATACTAGTATTCAAAACGCGGGTTTATTGGTCTATATAGACAACTCTAAAGAATAAGGAGGTGGGGGTAAAACATCCAGGTTGGATAAATAATATATCTAGATTTGTGAGTGAAAGGTAGTTGATTGACCAATGATGGAAAGTGGAAAGCCTTGCGACGTAAATTGCAACACATTTACGAAAACGGGATCTGTAGCGTTGTGTAACGCTAACTGCAACGCTACAGTTCTGCAACTAAACCTATCATTGCGTCGTATTTTTGTTGACTTCTTCATGCCAGTTGTTAGACGTTTGTTTTTATTCAAGATTTTACTACGAAATACTCTGTATACCTTAGCAATATATAGGGTTTACGGTGGGTGTAAGGGGATGCTTAATACTCTTAAGCACCTGGTCCAACCTCCGTAATGTCCAGGGTCCCTGTTTACTGTATTGTTCTCAGTTTGGTTTAGATCGATCATCTTTCGTTATCTTTTACGGTACATGATTGTCTATTTACTGGTAAAATTCGTTACTTTTAACTTATTCAGTTCCTGTGAAGACTAAACTTGATGACAGATTCAAAGAATGACAAAATCCAATCAAGGGCACTGGGGACTGAGCCCTGAGCCAGCACTAGGAGTCAAGGTGGCTAGAACTGATGCTCCTCTCTGGATCAAACTGGTCAGTGCTGGGACAGGGGCCTGCATAGCTGATGTCGTTACATTTCCTCTTGATACTACCAAAGTCAGACTACAGGTTAGCCATGAAGATTTTAAAATTGATAATTTAGAGAGCCTTTGTGACCATTTTACAAGACTGTTATTCTATTTAGTCTACTCGCTGTACATTTACTATCCGGATGAGGTTTTTTTCATTGAGTTGAAACACAATGACACAACATCTTCCAGGAAATTACAAATCCTGATTCTTTTCTTAACTCTTGACTACAGCTACTTCTGAATATACAAAAACGATGACCACCATAAAATAAACTTATTTATTGGGTTATTACGATTTTTTAAAAAGAAATTGAACCGTTTCATTTTTGTATTAAAGCTAACAAGTAACCATTATTTACTGTAGGTACAGGGTGATGTTGGCTTTCATAGCAAGTACTCTGGTGTTGTTCGGACGATTCTGACAATTTTCCACGAGGAGGGCGGAAGAGGATTATACAGAGGACTAATGGCGGGCTTACAGCGACAACTCTGTTTCTCCACAATAAAACTCGGTTGCTATGACGATGTCAAGAAGTTGTACGCAAATCTTTTATTAACAGGTAGTAATAAACTTTATAAAACAGAAACTTTATCAACTTTATCGGTAATATATGTTGGACGGGTTTATGGGAATTAATAGTTTTTTCTGTTTCCAAATTCAAATAGAGGACAATAAACCAAACAGTACCCCTGTTTCAATCCGAATTTTGGCGGGAGTCACTACGGGGATACTTTCTGTTGCGGTTGCGCATCCAACCGACACCGTCAAAGTTCGCATGCAGGCTCAGAGTGGCAACAACCTTTGGTATGCTAACACTTCTGATGCATACAAGAAGATATATAACACGGAGGGGGTGAAAGGACTCTGGCGTGGTAACATGAGGATAAATACACTTCTTTTGAAATGCAATGCCTCACATTTTAGTACTTTTTCTTCTTATTTTGTAATCTTGTGCATAATTTCTTTTTTAGGTTGCTTACCAAATATGTCAAGGAACGGCATTGTAAACGTAGCAGAAGTTGTTACTTACGATGTCATTAAAAGTCATTTGATAGGTAGTGACGTCATGTCAGAGGGGGTTCAGTGTCACTTGGTGTCAGCGTTTGCGGCGGGATTTTGCGCAACTGTTGTCGCTTCCCCAGTTGATGTAGTAAAGACTCGCTACATGAACTCCTCGTCATCTCGGTACAGAAATGTCATTCATTGTGCCACAGAGCTATGGAAGGCAGGTGGCTTTAGAGGTTTTTATAAAGGGTATGTAATTAAAACATCTTGTCAAAAATTTGTATGATATCAACAAGTTTTTAGCTCACCTGAGCCGAAGGCTCAAGTGAGCTTTTCTGATCACATTTTGTCCGTCGTCCGTCCGTCTGCCCGTCCGTCCATCCGTCTGTAAACTTTCCACATTTTCGACTTCTTCTCAACAACCAATGGGCCAATTTTAACCAAACTTGGTACAAAGCATACTTGGGTGAAGGGGAGTTAAAAATTGTTAAAACTAGAGGTACTGTGAGCGATGAGCTCACTAAATGATACCCCCCGCCTCCATATAGTTAAAATGGCAAAGTCCATGTTTTGCTGTGGCCGGGAAACCCAAAATATGTGTCGGATCAAAAAGTAAAATAGGAGGTGCACAATGGCAATATGTAATAAAGATTCTGTGAAAGTTTCATCAAATTTCATTCAGTGGTATGAGAGGAGTTGCGGATAAGAGATGGGTACCCCAAAGCGTAACAGATGGACGGACGGAATTAACGATTACTATATACCCTCCCGCTTTTCAAGCGGGGGGTATAATGAAGGGCCAAGTCCCCTTACAAGGGGAGATAATCAAGAAAAGACAAAAAATGGGTGGGGTCACTAAAAAATCTTCTTCTCAAGAACCACTGGGTCAGGAAAACTTTAAAAATCTTCTTCTCAAGAACCACTGGGCCAGGAAAGCTGAAACTTATGTGGAAGCATCCTTGGGTAGTGTAGATATTAATAAAGTAGATATTAAATTGTTAAAATCATGACCCCCGGGGGTAGGGCGGTGCCACAACAGGGAATCCATGTTTTACATAGAAATACATAGAACAAATCTTCTTCTCAAGAACCACAGGGCCAGGAAAGCTGAAACTTATATGGAAGCATCCTGGGATAGTGTAGATTCTAAAGTTTTAAAATCATAAAAGGGAAGGGGGTAGTGGGGCATGATAGGTATAGCAAGATGGGGAATCTGGTAAAGAACTGCATCACTTAAGTTACTCAGGTGAGCGATGTGGCCCATGGGCCTCTTGTATTATTTTAAATTTACATTCCAGTTAATCTGAAACACAAATTTTATTTTCACTTCCAGATTTCTGCCTGCATTACTAAGAATTGGTACATGGAATGTTTTGATGTTCTTGAGTTATGAGCAAATAAAACTTCTTATTCAGCCACCTTTGGCACAAATTACTTCACATTCTAGGGACGTTGAAAAAGCAACGCAGATCCTCTTCAAAGACAAACATACATAAATTCACACTGGAACTAAATCTGCACATGTACATGTATATATAAATGAAGATTTAATACACCCTAAATGATAAAATGTAGTAACAACAATTCAGTCAAGTTCTATTTTGATAAGTGCAATAAAATTTATCATCTTCAGAAAAGAAATTCATTACAGTGTTAAACTTAATCAAGTAAATATTGCAGGGTTTGAAGTTGTTACCATATTGATATAAGATTTTTAATATTTAAAATGCTATTGTAAAACAACCTTTTCTTATGTGTATGTGTAAACTTTTTTTACTGTTTTAAATCACAATGTAATAAATCTATATTGTTGGAATTGTTATGCCTTATAGTTTATACGTAGTTATGCTATAGTTTTATTTCATGTTTTTATACCATGGTTTAGCCAAGTTGACTTGTATATTTTTAATATGTATATGACGAGTTATTTATATACGGTGTACAAATAAATATTGAATATTTTCTTTTTTTGTCATGACATGTATTGTTTCATATTTGAAATAAAATAAAACTAAAATATTTTAAGCTTTAAATAACAATAGTTTGGTATTTTCATTTAATGCATGAATGATCAAGAAAGATAGGCAAGGATAACACATCTCTGAAATGCCATATTTATTGTAGTATAGATCTTTTTCTCCGTTTACATGAGGAATACTTTTCCCACTGGATTATAATTCTGCAGAATCACAATTTCTATTTGATCTACTGTTAGAAAATTTTTTTGTTATTTTAGTTTGACTCAAGATTCCTTAAATGTACTCTAAATACACTAGGGAAATTTTTGCAAGAAATTTGTAACCAAATACAAAGGGTAAATTAAAATGACACAGAAAAATGTAATTTTTCAATACACCCTAGTAGTACCCTAATGAATGTACATGTAAAACAGTATATTGAAAGGTAAAAAATGAAATGAAGGGTTAA